GTTTGTTTTGTGCTTCTTTCTGTAATATCTGCTTCAAATTTGATACCTTTAAACTGCAATTTTTCATTAGTTGTTGTTGGTCATAATCTGTTCGGAAAATCGACCCTAAATTTTTACAGGTAATTTTGCCGTCGTTTTGTTCTGAGTTGCTGATCGATGCATGCTTTTTTTCCAATTAATTTTCTTAGCTCGCATTCCTAACTGGCTTTCTCTATCTGTTTCCCTTTATGGAGTACTTTCAGTTTACTCTCTTACTGTTCTCTTTCCTTTCTTGGTTTATGTTAAAAGAAAAAAGGAAGTAAAAGATTAAAATTCTGATAATTCAAGTGAAAAGTCGAAAGTTATGTTGGAATTGCTGTTGCATTTTGACTATTTGTTCAATCCAATGGGAATTTCATTTTTGGAGATTTTCTTTTGATTTATGGAAAAGATCTGAGAAAGTAAACGGCATGATTTGGTTTTGTATACTCATAATTTCTGGGTTTGGAAATTAGAAATTAGAATGGACTTTAACTTGTTCAGAAATGTAAGTACATGCCTTTTTGAAGTTTATTGTAGGTGTGGAAGTAGAAGTAGAACGGATTTAATCTAAACTTGTTTTAAGATTGATTTTTGTCTATAAATTGATAATCAAATTGTTTATTTGTCATGGACTCAGTCTGGAATTTCTTGACTTTGATGTCTTTCCAGCTTTCAGGGTTCTTATCGATTGCTGCAATTGGCATTTTGGCAATTTTTAAATATGGGACATTGCTTCTCTAGGGTAAGTGCTGTTAGGGATTAACATTTGATAAGTTCAGTAACTGTACAATCGTGAGAACATGATACAATTTTTTGTCTTGCAAAATTTTAATGACTGGAAAATGTATCTGATGAAAGAATTTTGTTGGCCAAAATGTAATGGATCTTTAATTAAATAAACTATGAAATTCTGAAACACTTTAAGATCAAAAGTTGCTGATATTTTACTTCAATTATCGGACATGTGGGATTTTTCGATGTAAAGGCACTAACTATTTCATGATGATGATTATTTGGCAGCTTTAAATGAGAAAACTAAGTTTTCAAGAGCTCTAAGAAGAAGAATATATTGCTTCTACCAATTCTTGGAAACTGAAACTGAATTTGTTTATGTTCTTGTGAAGTCATGGGATTTTGTTCCTTTTTTTGTGTTTGTTGCAAACTGTTCATCTAATAATAGACCAAAATTATTTTATTTTATTTTAGTTTATAAAAACGTATTTTATACATGTATTTAGTATATGGTATTTTTTTTAGTTTGTCTGGTGAACTTTGTTTTCTAGACCGCTTTGTTGACTAACTTTCACTTTTTTGTTGTAACAATTCCTTTTAACTTTTTTTTTAGAATTATTCAAAGAAAAATAGAACTTTTTATTTATAGCAAAGAAAACAAGCATTTTGGTATACTAGTGACAATTCCAATGTCTTAGATAGTGTGCTTCAGGATTCTAATGCCTTCCCTTGGGGAACGGGGTGCTGTTGGAGAATGACATTCGCAACACTATGATGAGTTAAATGGTTGTGGTTTTGTTAATGATGTGTTCTTTTAACTAACAAAGATAATGGTATAGTCTTTACTGACATTTTTGTTGTCTCAATACTTATTGTGATCCTGCATGGGTTATCAATTAGTACCTTGTTAAAGTTCTATGATACCTTTGATACTTGTAGGATAAGTCTGATGGAGCTGATTCAGATGAAGCTGTTGAGTTTGTCGGTGGAAATGTGCACCGTGTTACCTCCAAAGAGGATTGGGATCAGAAGTTGTCTGAAGCTAAGAGAGATGGCAAGATTGTAAGTTTCTTAATACTTTCTACTCATTCAAGGTAACAGAAGATTGGTAACTATGCTAGAGGATTTTCCCTTCATTTCTCATACCTCTCTTTGTTTAATGCCGTGTTATATCTCTTTTTAGTTACATGTTAATTTCTATACCCTTTTGGAGTAAAAACCTATCTGTTTTAATCTGATCTCACACATGAAAATTGTACATGCGGATAGCTATCTATATCCATGATGCTACAGTGTTTACCATGAAACAACAACAACAACAACAACAACAAAACCCAATTCCCATATGTATGGGGTAAGGGGGAGATAGGGTAGTAGGCTACCCCCAACGCCAGGTTGAGAGTAGCTTCCGTGGAAGACCTCCGGCAGTCAGAAAATTAAAAATTTAGATAAAATGCAATGCATGTATAAATAAATACATAAATACATAGCTAAACAGTATTCATATGCAGTCATTAAAATCATATGTGCGTCTGTAACGGGAATTAATCCCTGCATAATAATCCCTGCGAAAGAATCTCTGCATATAGACAGAAACATAAGATCCGGCTAAATTTAAAAGAGGAAACATGAAGAGAATGATACACAGAAGTCAACGTTAGCAAGCCCAGTTCTAATCCTTCATAAATACCAATAACAGAAACGTATAAAAGGTATAAGTTATGGAAAATACTACAAAGACATTAAAAGAAGACAGAGATGATACACCCTATAGATGTGACCCACACTACTCGACTACCCTAGTCTTTAGCCTCCATATTTTCCTATCAGAGGTCATGTCTTCGGTAAGGGCTAAATCCCTCAAATCAGATCTCAAGCAGTCTTCCCACTTTCGCCTTGGTCGTCCTTTCCTTCTGGCACCGTCGACTGTAATCGACTCTACCCTCCTTACCGCATCCGACGGTAGTCGCCTAAGGACATGCCCAAACCACCGTAGTCTTCCCTCCCTCAATTTTTCGGAAACAGACACCACCCCCAAGGACATCCTAATAGCAGAGTTTGTCGTCATATCCCTCAGAGTCCTACCACATGTCCATCGAAGCATTCTCATTTTTGCGGCCTCAATCCTCCTTACGTGATCCTTCTTGGTTGCCCAACATTCTGATCCATACAACAGCGCTGGTCTTATTGCCATTCTATAAAATTTTCCCTTAAGTTTTAGAGGGACCTTCTTGTCACACAGAACTCCAGTAGCGGCCCTCCACTTTAGCCATCCCGCCTTTATACGGTGTGTAACGTCATCATCTACACCCCCATCTTTATGTATCATAGACCCTAGGTACTTGAAACAATCCTTTGAGGGGAGAACGTGTCCTTCTATGCATACTTCTACATCTTCATCGTTTTGGTTCCCATTGAAGTTTGAACATAAATACTCTGTCTTTTCAATATTGATCCTTAAACCTTTTTCTTCCAAAGCAGTCTTCCAGGTAGCCAGTCTACTATTCAACTCAGATTTTGTTTCAGCAACTAAGACAATGTCGTCAGCGAAAAGCATACACCATGGTACACCGTCTGGTGTCGCACAATAGATGTCGAGTGTTTACCATGAAAGCCTCCTCTAAAGAACTCATCAACAATAACTGATTCTTAGTTAGGAAAAGCTCTGTAAAATATTTTTCTCCGAGATAAACATGATAACTGGGAACATGATTTCATAGAATAATGAGAGTTTTCCGTGATTTCATTTTCTTCTTCCGTATTTAGTTTAAAGTTATAGATGAGGCCCTGTGAAATTTTGGTTACCCTGTAATTTGTCTGGAATGTGAATTTTTCAAGTACTTTTTGTATTACATTAATTTGGTGGCTCTGTATGCATGAAAATATCATCGGGACTTTTTTTTAATTTATGGATTCCTCTCTCTTCATTTACCGTTGCCTGAAAAGTCTACTTGCTCTTAGTTCACTTGTATGCCTTTCAGCTTTATGAAAGCCTTGATTTATCTGATGTCTAAAGCCTAATGATTTATCAGGTAATTGCAAACTTCAGCGCAACATGGTGTGGCCCTTGTAGAATTCTTGCACCATTTTATTGTGAACTCTCAGAGAAGCACCCTTCTCTGATGTTCTTGTTGATAGATGTTGATGAACTAACTGTAAGTATTGAAACGTCTACCTGCCACCTCCCACTTCATTTATTTAATCCGTGCAGCTAGTGATGTATGAGTAATATGATATGGATAATGGAATCTTCACAAGTCACAACTTACACTTTGGTACTATTAGTGGAATTTTCTGAAGCAAGATCTTGGTGCCCTTGCATTAGGGGGGACAAATTTGGCTTGGTATAACAAATATATAGGACCCCAAGTCGGCACGCACGTGACTAGTATTATTTTTATTATTCATGTTAGTTGTGAAGTGGGCAAATTTGATTGGTGATGCAGGATTTCAGCACTTCATGGGATATTAAAGCCACTCCTACATTTTTCTTTCTGAAAGATGGGCAGCAAATTGACAAGCTTGTTGGAGCAAACAAGCCAGAGTTGCAGAAGAAGATTACTGCTGTTTTGGATTCTATGGGGAGTTATCGGAATTGACATCAGTGAGGTTACAGGTTTCAGAGAATCTGTGCAATGAACATAGCCTTTTGTTTGTGTTGTGAGTTGAGAGCTTTGGTTGCATTGTGATGGAAAGTGTTGTTTGTTAATATATAATTGTAATTCTTGGAATGCCTTATTCTTACTTTCTCCTATGCTTGCTTGTATTCAAAGGTTACATTTTTTTATGCATAATGATTATATTCTGATTGGTAACTGGCTCGGGGGTAAATTTGCTATCATTAAACTCAATTTGAGTATTCACATTTTTCTCTAAGGTTGATATTATGATCCAATTTGTCATCATAATTTAAATTTGTAACTCAAGTATGATTTTTATTGAACTTTGCCATCAATTTTGTTTTTTTTTTCCTTCAATTAAAATTTAGGAGGATTTTCTCAGTTGGTACATAATCAGCAGCTAAGACAAGTTGAATGTACAGCAACAACAAGGATGCAAGAATTGTAACCGACATTGGAAATGAGTTATCAGCTGAGCTCGTCATGAGTTCATAATGCGGGATCCAGACGCATAAAAAATATGAAATATTTGAACATAAATGAACAAATGAAAGCAAACCCAGAATTCCTTAGCTAACAGAGCATAAAGGTCGGAGATGCAAGGGTCAAGGTAGAAGCTAGCTGAATAAAAGAAAACAAAATTGCTTGTGAAATACGTTTAAATGAGGAGACTTTCAAGGCATTTACCTTTCCGGGGAGCTGAAGAAAGAAGAGTGAAACCGGAGATGATGGTAATGGAGAGACATTAGGTCGTTGTATGTATAATTAGGGTGGGGAAGAAGGAAAGCAAGCATGTGAACTGACCACACTTTTGAATTTAGTGCATCTGAAGTGGAAAGTTGTAGTGCTACAGCTAGCCGAGATGATGATATCACATCTGGAAAGGACAATAACAGCCTTGAATTGTTTAAGTATTGCAATTAGGTAAGATTATAATAGGATTGTAAATGAGATAGATAAATGACCAGTTATTGAAGATCGATTAAAATTTGATTAATATTTAAATTGAATAAATTCTATTTAAATTCGAACATGACTCAAATTTATAACGAGTCAAACTGAATTATTTAATATCTGACTCAAAAATCTCATGAACAATTCAAAAGAATAATATATTAAATTTTTAGATTTTTTAAATTAACTTATTAATAATTATATGTTTTTTAAAATATAGTATAATATTTTTCATGTATTTAAGATTTAAATTTGAGCTTCAATCGAATTAAGTTTTAGAATGTTTTAAGTTTAAGTTTTTCGAGCTCGAGTCAACCTTACAAATTTTAAATTTCTAAATTTTCAAGTTGAAATTCAATTTTTTTATTTTTTATTTCAGCCAAATTTAATATTTTTAAACTCATAAAATTTTAAATCAATTGGAACTTAATTTTAATTTTTTAACTTAGGGGTTGTTTGTTTGGCTCTAAAAAAAATCATTCAACGTTGAATGTTGAACCGTTCAGTATTCAGCGTGTTTATTTCTAACCTTTAAATGAAGACTGCACTAAATGATTCAGCAAAACAGTGCTAAATGATTCAGCATCAAAGTACATTCTGAATGATTCAGAGTCATTATCAAATAATATGTCACATTCAGAGTTAATTTATACATAACCTCTAAATCATTCAGATCATTGAATCATTCAACGTTTAATCACTAAACAGTTTAATTATTAAACAATCGTCCCCTTAAATCAATTTACCAATACTCAACTTCATTTAACTCGTTTACAGCAAGTACATGGGAAACTGGGGACAGATTCGGCGGGTTTGAAAGTCACTCTCTTTTTACTGTTTTCTTTTTCTCACTTCACTTTGCCAACTTGTATTTGCATTTATCATGCAGCTCTGCCATGCTTCATATTGGTGTTAATGTCAGAGGTAGATTTAGAAATTAATTAATAGAGATTTAAAATTTTAATATTTTATTTTAAAAAAATTAAGTATGTAAATTTTCTTTTTTATTCTCATTAATTAATTAAATTAAATATTTTTCTCAAAATAATAAGTGTGCAATGACTTCCTTAAGGAGCTATGTACATTTGCCCGTGGTTGATGTGCATAAAGGTTCCCTAATGTTAATTACTCTTTTATCTATATTATTATTTTGGATAAGATGATATTTTAATTATGAAATTATATTAGTTTAATATTTAAAGAATTATTTTATTTAGGTCGATTTTTAAAAAATTTAATTGTAATTCATGTTATGTCCATCTATTTTTTAATTATAAAAAATCACATGACATTTTAAAAATGACATGTCATGTGACACAATATAGACATTATGCAAATTCAACAAGCATGCCATTAATGGCGTACTGGAGGATTCGAATGTTGCAGTCGTGAAAACTTTGTATAGATAATTGAATTGATTTGTGAAGGATTTTGCAAACCATTTCCAATGCTCATCTCCAATTCACAAAATCATGCATGGAATCCCACATAGAAGATGCTGAGAAATATATCTAGGAATGCCTGTTATCTTCTCTGAGTTCGTAGTATCTGCCAAAGACACCGGCTACAACTCATCATACCGAGACAATCTTATTAGCAGTGTCGTAGGAAGAGAATTCCATGGAGACATTCCTTTACCATGATGATCTTCGGAAACTAATTACGGCCGGGTGAAGGGTCTTCGGAAACTAATTACGGCCGGGTGAAGGGTCTTCGGAATCTGCTATTGTGCATGCTAAATGAGAACTGAAATAGAAAACAAGGAAGTAATAAGGATCTTTGTGGAGTTGTAACGTATGTCAGGCCTAGTGGCATAACATTATTTTAAGTAATATCCCTTTCTATTTCAAAACCAGCACTATTTCCATAAGAGTTCCTTAATTCTTTTGAATCCCAAGGGCAAGCCAAGACACACTAACATAGGGGAGTAGCAGGCCTTATATAATTGAAATCTATGAAGGGGTTTTGTTGGTCTTCGGGCTAGACGCTGCAGAAAACGTCAATGGCATGTTGGTCCATCGATCATCAAAGTTCGCAATGCAATGCTTCCCGGTAATTTCGGGGCGAAAACCGGGTTGGATCTCCCTTGCCTCTAGTTTCTTCCAGTTGATTGTCTTCAACCACTTGCATCGCTTGATTTCCTCACTTCCAGTTGGTCCACTTCCAAGGCGCTTGCTAGGATCTTTGTGTAGCAGCTAAAACAGCAGAAAACCAATTATTAATTAATCATCAGTAGATCCGACGTAAATTAAGATTCAAACGAAAAAGGTGCAAATAACTTTTGGGACTCGAGACTTACAAATAGGAAATGAGAAACATAAACTAAGGCTTTGAATATTTACCCCTTTCAACAGAGAATGTGCTTCACTGGAAAGGAATTTAGGCAGCTTCATCCTCTCCTTAACAATCTTTTGCTGAATTTTTTCCCTGTTTCCTCCAGTAAAAGGAGGCTGCAAGAAGATAAACTAGTGAAAGTAAGCATTTTGAACATCGACAAAGTGATATTTGATGCAGGGAAAAAAGTGTCACCAACCTTTCCAGTAAGCATTTCAAAGATTAAAACACTAACACTCCACCAGTCTGCAGCCTTATCATGGTCTTTCCCCGTAATTATTTCAGGTGCCATGTATTCCACTGTTCCACACAAGGAGTTTGATCTTGTATTTTCGTCAAATTGCTTCGCCAGGCCAAAATCAGTCAATATTATCTACACAAAGAAAGAAAGATATACGATAAAGATATAGTCGATTTTCCTCTTACAGCAAGCACAAATAAATATAGCAATAAAGGAGAAAGTGAATACATGGCCATCAGCATCCAAAAGGATGTTTTCAGGTTTAAGATCCCTATGCATAATGCCATTTGCATGAAGGTGTGAAACTGCAGAAACAATCTCAGCAGCGTAGATACGAGCCTGATCCTCTCTGAAAAACACGAAAACTTAATCAACCATTTCTTGGACATGGTATAATAATGAAATACAAAGATAACCGCAATACCTGAAAAGACCATGACGGTGAAGATGAAAGAAAAGGTGCCCGCCGTTAATGAAATCAAGAATAAGGTACAACCTATATTTGGTCTGTAAGAGCATAGATAAAAATCATCAGTACAAGGCATTATAAAATTTTGATTCCAAAGTTGACTGCTAAAAGCATTTAACAATAAATTCTAGAGATTAGATTCATTGAAGAGCTAGAAATTACTTGAAATGAGTATCCGAGCTGGACAATGAAAGGGTGATCAACTTTTGTTAAAATATCCCTCTCAGCTTTCATGTACTCTGCATGATTCTTCTCCATTATCTTCTCCTTTCGCCTAACCTTCATTGCGTAAATTTCTTGTGTGTCCTTTTTCCTTACTTGATAATACTTTTCCGAATGCACCTTGCCCAACCACCTACAAAACCTCAAAATCCTCAATGCCTATGCTGCTGACCTTCATGTGGTCTCCCTTAACATCTTTAAGGGACATGTCATTGTCATCTGCACCAGATAGCTCCTCAACCTCATTGTTGGTTTCTTCCTTAATACATTCTACTAGATCCACTGAATGTATCACTTAAAGTGAGTTTTCTTAGCTTCAACAGTGTGTTGACAAGTGGAGAGGGACCGAGCAAAGAATGCGATCGGCTGTAAACAATAGCAGGTTCATAATAAACAAGCTCAGTATTATCCGGTTCACCACAGGTGTTTTTCCCAAAAAATAACCAGTGATCGGTATATTTATCGATCTAACACCGGTCAGATTATATTTTTCGATCTAACACCCGTAGTAGTAAAGCGCGCCCCCTGCACCGCGCTATACGTTGATTTGACGCCACGTGGAGTATAGCGCGCCCCCTGCCCCGCGATATACGGTGATTTGGCGCCACGTGGGTATAGCGCGCCCCCTGATCCGCGCTATACCTGGTTATCTGACACGTGGGGTATAGCTCGGTGCAAGGGGCGCGCTATACCCCTAAATACCCGCCCGTCCACATCCCAATCCCACGGTGATTTGGCGCCACGTGGGTATAGCGCGCTATACCATCGTCCCCCGACTCGTGGACGGAGAGCAGGTGCTTCCGGTTCATCCTCAGCTGCATCAGCAGGACCTTCACAGCAGCCACCGCAGCCATTTATGATGTCGCAGCCATATATGATGCCGCCATCGCCTTTCCATTACCAGATGCCGCTGCCGCCGCCTTCACCTAGTTTTATGACCCTACCGCCGCCACCGTCACAGATGACCCCTCCTGGAGGCTATTATAGGTCTATTTTTGCAGATCCGACTTAGGGCTTATATGTTGGATATTTGGCGGGTTCAACCTCATCACCCATGGCTGCAGCACAGACACCTCCTGTACAATTTTCACACTCAGCGATGTCTGGATTTTCCCAGTTTTCGCAGGCCGGTGGGATAGTCAGTCATACACCTCTAGGGTCCTTATTCTATGGAGGTGCTTCATCGTCATCAGCTCCTCATCAACCTAATGTATCTTCTCAGGACGACGACGATGACGATGGTGATGATAATGACAGCGAGGAGTCAGAACCAGTGATACGAATAAATCCTCCTCGAGATTGACAACCACCGCCCTGCGGAACACATTCGCGTCACAAGCATCGATATTTTTTTTATTATATTTGTATTTACTTTATTTTGTTAAATTATAATTTTTTTATTATTTCTCATTTAATATTTACTTTATTTTGTTAAATTTGTTGGACTTTTTTTAATGTATTTCAGTTAATTTTGTTTATTACCATTTAATATC